GCATCTAGCTCTTGATGTAAGACTTCGTTGATGGGGCTGGGGTGCACCAACGATTTTCCATCGGCATCAGGCAGCATACATATTCCTCTGATCACATGGAGGGAGCCGGGGTAACGGTCATGAAGACGTGGTGGGTGTTTCTGGTGTGATCATGTCAGTATGGAGTGACAGCGGCCAGATCCGCACCGCAACACGGACGACCCCCGATGGTTATGGTGACGTTCACGTCTACTAGGGCAAGTTTGGCCTGGCATGTAATACTGGCTGGCGTTACTTTGGAAGATCCATCATAAAGATTGTGAATGCTTCATGTCCGGGGTGAAATTTTTTGTTTTGGCCTTCATTGGTCCGGCTCAGCAGCATCGAAGTTGCGTTGTTACCATGTTGAAGGCATCATATAGTGGTTCTATGCTGGCCTTCAGTGGTTGGTCTCTGCATACATGATGAAAATGTTCGCCCTGGTCATATGCAACCGGACAAGACGACGAAAGTACAATTATGTTTATTCCTTCTTGAAGGTGTTGTTGCGGAAGAAGTAAACTTCGTCATATGTGTTGCGTTCATATCTTGCAAATATTTTCCAGGTAGTTGCCTATGTTTTGTATTCCTCTTGTCAATAATTTGCATCAACTTTAATATAAAATGATAGTGTGCACCACAATGATGCACAGGTCGGGGGTCTCGAACCCTTTTTCAAAATAAAACATATTAAGAAGCAAGGTTCAATATCAATTATGCCTCACATCTCACAAGTCACAAATCTCAAGGGTGGTTCTATGTTGACATATGGTTAGGGTTTGACTGGGTTGGCCGTCAATACACGTTTGAGATTTTCTAGGAATTGTTATTTATATGGGCCTAAAGCCCATCTAATACCTAAGACCTCCTAACTCTTTGTTTTTTTCTGTGGGCAGACTCTTTGTTTAATGGTTATAATTAGGTGTCCTAAGATTATGCCTAACAATCACAACTATTAAAGATGCCCTTATTACTCCATTGTTTTAGTTAGGTTGCACGGTCTAGAAGATAAGTATTCCATCTGCTTGAAATGGAGGGGTGGTAGTATAACTGAGTTTGGTTTAGCAAGTAACCATTGGTTGCTTGTGCACTTTTTGTTTGAAATGAAGGTAAACAATTTGCCTTGTCGATTAATTATGAAGAAGAGAGTTACCAAGCTAATTTACGAAAGCCGGGAGAAAGCCGATGCAAACGGCCGAGAACTAGAAGCACCCCTCGACACCCACTGGTTGCTCAGTATAACTGCTTAAAGCGAGCAAGCAAGTAATGGTGATATAACTGAGTATGGTTCAACAAATAACCATTGGTTGCAGAGATTATCATCTGCTTGATTTTCATGCATGCACTATAACCGTTTTTTTTTTTTGACAAAAGGGGCCACATGGCCCTCATGTGCATTATAATGTTGCTGTGGAGGTAGCGAGGCCAAGTTGCAGGGGATCTGCGAGTGCCACATTTGGAGCCGACAAGGGGCTCCACAAGAATCTAATCAAAACATATAGGATCTTGGATTACAAAACAGATCAAAAGAAGAAGAAGAAGATGCGTACGAAAAAAAAGATGGAGCAACATGCAACTTTGGGCCAAGATTCACCAGAATCTATCTAGCTAGAGCCGGAGGACACATATGGTTCTTCCTTTTTGCAAGTAGACACATGCGCGACTGAAGCTCCCACAGTGCAGCTGCGCGTGCTAACTGGCAATTTGGCACCACCTGACCTGACCTGACGGACAAGCAGTAGCCAACAAGGCCGGCCACCTTTGCACTGATCCCTCGTGACCCCGATGATGTCACGTCTGTCTCGAGATGGGGAACGTCGCCCACATCTGGGTTCTGCAGTGTGCTGCCTGCAGAGCTCATGGTCGACCATGTGATGAAGGTACCGGCCCACCTGGCCTATGTCCCCTTCTCTCCTCCAATCTGATACGAGTAGTAAAAAAGTACAAATGGCGAGCTGGTTGCTGCGATCTGGGTGGCGGCTCGATTCAAAAAAATTTCTCCACCGCGTTGCTTGCTTGCTTGCTAAATCAGACTCGCTACAATAATCTATACAGGTGATGCTACCACTACGGCCCGAGGCGAGGTCAAACTGTCGGCTCCATCTGCATGTGGCTGTTGCGTTGCATTGCATGCACCTCGCCGGGCGGTGCCGTGCCGTGTGCTGGCATGCATGGCGCTAGCTAGCTAGGACGGAGACAGTAGCGGCCAGTGGCGCCCGGCGCTGCTGCCGCAGAGCCACGTGAGCGCGGCGACCGCCGCGATGGCGAAGGGGCTCGGCGCTGAAGACGACGCCTGGCTCGAGCTCCGCGCGTACTGCCACCCGCTGCCGCTGCCGGCGTCGCGGCTACGGCCCAGGTAGGAGACGGTGTCGTTGACGTGGGGCAGCGCCGGCGTGGTGCTCGTGCTTGTGCTCACGACGGACGACTTGAGGCTGCATCACGATTTGGCAAAGCCAAACATTAGTTAGTACGCAATGTGTTGTTGGACGTGACAAGGTTTGTGCCGCGTACGTACGTATGCATGCACATGCACGAATGGTTTATGGACGAGTTACCTGGACATGGCGGCGGGGCAGAAGACGACGAGGTAGGCGGCGGTGCCGGAGGCGCAAGTGAAGGTGGAGGTGGCGTCGTCGTACGCGTAGCTGTATGAGCGCGGGCACGCGTTCTTGAAGAACATGGAGTAGGCCGACGGGCGGCACGCCTCGGGCCCGCCGGCGAACGCGCCGCTGCAGCAGTCCTCGGGCCGCCCGAACGCCTCGCACGCGCTCTTGCAGGCGATGCCGGCGCCGTCGGGCCCGGCCACCCGCAGGTCGGCCGGGCACGGCCCGTTCAGGTCCGCCAGGCACCCCGTGGCGCCGCACCCCTCTCCGCTGCCGCCCTGCGGGAGCACGGCCACGGGGATGTTAGAGCCGTCCACGAGGCTCACGTCGTAGAAGTCTTTGCTGCCGGAGCCGTCGAGGGTGAACTCCGCGAGCGAGCAGGGTGGCGCCGCGCCCCCGCCGGCGCACTCCACGGCGCCCGAGCCGCAGTCGCAGGTGGCGCAGGCGAACCGCCCGTCGGCGCCCGTGCCGCAGAAGGTGCGGCCCCACATGCGGCCCGACCACGCCGAGGGCGCTTCCACGGCGCGCGACTCCCCCGGCGCCAGCGCGAAGCCCGTGGTGGGTAGCGCCGGCGCGCCCGAGCCGGACAGGAGGCCCGGCCACACCGTGTAGGCGCAGGAGTTGGTCAGCGTGAACGTAGTGGACAATGCACCCGGGAGGAGCGAGCCCAGAAAGAGGAGGAGGCAGGAGATGTTGAGCATCAGCCCGCGAGTCGTTGCCGCCATTGCAGCAGCAGCAGCCGGCGATGGAGCAAGATGGTCGATCGATCAGGAGATGAGTAGGGTTGCTTGATGGATTCAGGTGGAGTGGAGGAGCTCGATGGAGGTCGGGACGGTGGTATGCGCGCAATGCCGGCCGCAACCATGTGGCGGCCGGTTTATAAGAAGAGAGCTAGCGTGAGAGAGAGCGGGGACAGTGGTGGACTTGGACCTGGAGGCTCGTGATGGACGGTGGTGGTGGCGGGGGCGGTCAACAGGTTGTCCTCTACTCCTCCTCTGTGCGCCATGAGAGAGAGAGAGGAGAGCATCGGGCAGTGCCGGTTGTCCGTGTCGCCTGCCAGATTCTTTGTGCAACCACATGCTAAGTGATTACTCATGATTACTTGCGGTTTTTACTCTGTTTTCTTTACGCCGTCTCTGCGATCTCGTACGTCTTTGCAGTAACTTCAAGCGACTAAAATGATGATTTGTTAATTTGATTGATGAGATCAAGTTATGTGTTTTTTTTTTTTTTGCTTCGGATCACGAGAGATGCATGAGGCGAATCTCGGTGGACGGCTCCACGCGCATTGGTAGCTAGATGAATCTCAGGGGAGCCAGTCTGCCTCTGCCTCTGCCAGGGTTCGTCGTCGTTCCCGGGACGGACACACCGCGCGCGGGTGGGGTGGGTGGGACTCGTGGCCGCAGAATCTCACTGACGAGCGCGTGCGTACGTCCTTTCTCTCCGATGAGCTCGCTGCCGACATCCCCCGTGACCTGTATCTGTATGCCGCGCGTGCATCATCACGCATGCTTAGTTCAAAACCTGATCCAATAGATGCTCTATTTTAGGGCATCAATGTTGGCTTGGAGCAAAATTTACAACATCGAAATTGCCGAAATTTGCAACACCAAAATGTTCATGTTCAACCGTAGTCCTAAAATACATCACGGTTATCTTCTTGTGAGTGTCCATTTTACGACACCTGTTGGGGCAAAGGTAAAACAGTTGTTTTCATGCGGTCTTGAGCCGTCCCTGCTGCCCTAAAAAATTTGCTCATGCCACCCAAGGGTCGAAGCTCTAATAGGAGCCTTGCTTTATCTTTAGTGTATTTTGTTTTACATACAGGGCATCTATTAGAAATTGCTTTATCTTTAGTGTATTTTGTTTTACATACAGGGCACCTATTAGAAATTGCTTTATCTTTAGTGTATTTTGTTTTACATACATGGCACCTATTACAACTTCGACCCTTGTAATGTAACACTAGCAGGCAGAGGCATGGCGCAAAGGCTGTGTGCGTGGTTGCGTTGTTTTCTCTGGATCGGGTGCGTAGCTATGTGGAAGTTGATAACGTGCAAGTCAATTTAACTTGTTGCAATAGAAAGCATAATCTCAGTGTCTAGCTAGCTCACTTGTTAAATTTTAGATCACGCTTAGCTCAAAGGAGCTTATACATATAAACATAAACCCCAAATGGCAGCAATGCACGCAATGTTAACAACAGTTTTCTTGTTATTCATCTTCCAAAGGAAAATAACTCAGTCATGTTTGTGGGGATATTGAAACCAAAAGCATCAGCAGCATCAGTCCAAACTTGTTTAGCTACCACACATTCAAAGAACAAATGGTGAACTGTTTCATTTTCATTGCAAAATAAGCAGTTTAAATTCTCCACCACCCTCCTCTTGTTCAAGTTGTCCCTGGTGAGAATTTTGTTATTGAAAGCTAACCAGATAAAGACCAAGTATCTGGTAGGCACAACAATCTTCCAAAAATTAGGTTTATCAGTTCTATATTTATGATCAATCAACCGCACCCAATCTTTATCTTGATCCATGAAGTATCTTTTAGTCCAAGAGGCTAACAAAGCCATGTTAAACTCTCTTAAATTGGGTACCCCCAAGCCACCAAATTCTTTTTTCTGGGAGATTAGGCCCCAATTGGCTAGGTGGTATTTATGCTCATCCCCGGAACTACCCCGGAAGAAATGTGTCATCTGCGAGGTGATGGCTTTGATAGCCCATTTAGGGAACTTAATCATAGACATTAAGTACATAGGGATACTAGCAATGCAAGCTTTGAGTAAGATTAAGTTTGCCTCATAGCTAAGTAATCTTCCTTTCCAGCCACATATCCTCTTAATGATCTTGTCTATAATATATTGAATATCTTCCCTCCTAAGTTTAAGATAGTGCAGAGGCACCCCTAAGTACTTAAGAGGGAAATCCCCCAGTTTGCAACAAAAAAATTGAGACAATAGTTTAGCATCTTCTCCCCCCATATTAATTGGCATCACTTCGCACTTGTCATAATTAATTTGCAACCCAGAGAGGTTCTGAAAACAAGCAAGCAACCACTTTAAGTTTTTTATATACTCAGGCTTAGGGTTTAGGAATAGAATCGTGCCATCGGCGTATTGCAAGCAAATGAGCCCGCGTGGGATAATGTGGGGAACAATCCCAGAGATAATATTGCTATTGATAGCTTTCATCAACATGCGTGAGAACACGCCTGCTATAAGATTGAAGAGCATGGGGGAACTAGGGTCTCCTTGTTTCAACCCTTTCCCCCCTACAAAATATGGACCTAGGACATCATTGATTTTAACATAGAAGGAACTTTGTTGTAAAATGGACAGGTTCCACCTAATCCACTTAGCCCCAAAGCCCCTAGATGTTAACATTTCCACAAGGAAATCCCAGTTCACACGATCATACGCTTTCTCATAGTCTAATTTGAGAACAATCCCAGGCTCTCTAGATTTGTGGACTTCGTGGATAGCCTCATGGGCAGTAACCACACTTTCCAGGATAAATCTGCCTCTCACAAAAGCAGATTGACATGGGGACAGGAGCCTATGACCCACAGGGGAAACCCTATTTGTCATGGCTTTACAGAAGATTTTAACAGAGCAATTACTAAGGCAGATGGGTCTAATTTTTTCATATTTTTGGCGTCTGGCTCTTTAGGGATAAGGGTGACTATAGAATAGTTTAGTCTTTGGATATCCATAGATCCACTCTCAAAATACCTCACCAATGCCATGAAATCTCCTTTGATAATCTCCCAAAAGCGCTGGTAAAACAAGAAAGAAAGACCATCAGGTCCAGGTGCTCCATTAGCATAAGAACCCATAATGGCTTCCTTAATTTCCTCCTCTGAAAAAGGTCTTTCTAGTATGGTATTTTCAGCCTGTGTCACACATTCCTCTTCAGACCAAAAATGATCATCTAAGTGAATGTTAGGTTTAGGTTCAAACCCCAAAAGGTTTTTATAGAATTAGTTGCAACCCCCAGCATGTCTTTTGTGGAATAGACAGGTCCATCCGGGCCCTCCAGGACAGACAGCTAATTTTTCCTTCTACGTTGGTTAGCAACAGCATGGAAATACGCTGTATTTCTATCCCCTTCTTTAATCTTTCTGTCCCTAGAACTCTGACACATGGCAATTTCCTCTTTTTTCCATATCTCATGCATCTCATCTTTAATTTGTTTCATCCTGAGGATATCCTCAGCATTAGTTCTATTATGTTCAGAAAAAATATCTAAGATATCAAATTCCTGAAGTAATTCTTTTTTTCTATTCTTCATGGCAGCTTCAATGTTAATGCTCCAACTTGTCACCAGCTTCCTAAAAAGTTGAGTTTTAAATTGCCAGGTGTCAATAGCAGAGGGGAAAGGAGAAGGTGTGGCCCAAAATTTTCAACCAAGGCCTGGAAGTGAGGTTGTTCAAGCCACCATTTCTCGAATTTAAAAGGTCTAGTTGGGTTACAAACACCCACCCCTGAATCTAGTAAAATGGGAGCATGGTCACTCCCCACCCTTGGCAAAGCACACAAGGAAGTAAGTGGGAAGTGCCTGTCCCAATTAGTAGCAGATAAAACTCTATCAATAGTAGCAAAAATGGGGTTATTATAACACCCACGATGCGGCTATATCTCCCACGTGTCGGGGCATGACTTAGAGGCATAACCACATGGTAGGCATGTCGCAAGAGGGGTAATCTTTACACATACCATGTGCTGAATAAGAAACGGATAAAGAGTTGGCTTACAATCGCCACTTCACACAATACATAAATATATCATACATCACCCAGAATACAATCAAGGTCTGACTACGGAACCAAAATAAAGAAAGACAACCCCAAATGCTAGATCCCCGATCGTCCCAACTGGGCTCCTCTACTGATCATCCAAAAAAGAAACAAAATAATGATCAAGATCTTCATCGAGCTCCCACTTGAGCTCTGTTGCGTCACCTGCACTGGTATCATCGGCACCTGCATCTGTTTGGAAGTATCTATGAGCCACGAGGACTCAGCAATCTCACACTCACGAGATCAAGACTATTTAAGCTTATGGGTAGGAAAGGGTAGTGAGGTGGAGCTGCAGCAAGCACTAGCATATATGGTGGCTAACATACGCAAATAAGAGCGAGAAGAGAAGCAACGCACGGTCAAGAAGCTAATAGTGATCAAGAAGTGATCCTGAAGCTACTTACGTTCAAACATAACTCAAGAACCGTGTTCACTTCCCGGACTCCGCCGAGAAGAGACCATCACGGCTACACACGCGGTTGATGCATTTTAATTAAGTTAAGTGTCAAGTTCTCTATAACTGGACATTAACAAATTCCCATCTGCCCATAACCGCGGGCACGGCTTCCGAAAGTTCAAAACCCTGCAGGGGTGTCCCAACTTAGCCCATCACAAGCTCTCACGGTCAACGAAGGATATTCCTTCTCCCAGGAAGACCCGATCAGACTCGGAATCCCGGTTACAAGACATTTCGACAATGGTAAAATAAGACCAGCAAAGCCGCCCGAATGTGCCGACAAATCCCGATAGGAGCTGCACATATCTCGTTCTCAGGGCACACCGGATGAGCCAGACGTCGGGTTGGCATAGACCCTGGTTGCTTAGGGGGCGCCAGACATCGCTCAGGTTGGACCAACACTTAGAGAAGCACTGGCCCGGGGGTTTAAAATAAAGATGACCCTCGGGCTCCGGAAACCCAAGGGAA